GTTTCCAGGTTTTCTTATTGTTATAAACTACTGTATAAAGTTATAGTTTGAGCAGCAGGACATCTTCTCTTCTGGCTGAACTCATTCTTTTTCAAAATTCTCTGACTGCTGATCAGATATGAAAATGTTGTGGTTCAGATCCTCTATAGTAGCAGCATTTGGCTCATGTTACCAAGGCAGTGAATACTGGAATTGATTGTTTTTACTTGCATTACAATGACATCAAGGAATACCTGTAATGGGAAGCAATCCCTGCCCCCACAGCTTGCAGTTCCATTAAATGAGACGAAGGATGAAGGGACGGCCTGGGTAAAACGAAGTGGCTTGCTCAGAGTGCAGCCAGCTCAGAAGCAGGAGTGGAACCGCACTGTCAGAGCCCACTTGGCTGTGCTGGCAAGTGTTGTGCCTGGGAGGAGTGAGTGAATCGGGACAGCTCTGGTTCGTGTGTCGTGCTTGATACCGATTCCAGCAGGGAATGTGGCCATGGAGGTGGCCATGGAGTGGGGGGAGTCTTTTGGACAGAGCAGCTCTAAGAAAAGTGAACAACTGGAGACAGCTGGCTGCAATTTTTCAGATCCTCAGGAAAGTATGATTTTGTGTTGAGCAGCTGCCACAAACACTTAAGAGGGAGCTGTTACCAGCAGTAATGACTGAGGGATTGATATTAGAAAGCAGATGTGTCAGACTATGGAGTCTGTTAAAGATGTGCTCTCTGTCAATGAGACCTCGCTGAAGGGCTCTTGGCAGCTGTCTAGCCCTGCGGGATCTCTGAATCTCAATGAGACACCATGTGTGAAAGGAAAGAGAGTTAGTGTTGAAATTACCAGCATCAGAACAATTAAACCAAAGCTGCTGGAGCTGAAAGATTTTTGTGCTTTCTCCATGGTTTTACTTTCCTATGACCCAAAAGCCTTCCTGTGTGAGTGACTCATTAAGAGATGGGCCATGGCACAAAGAAGAACAGGGACTAAGAGTGGATAAGAAACAGTATTTGGACAGAGGGAAACATAAGAAAGAAGGAGAGATACTGTGCTGAGGAGGTGGAGGTGCTGTGAGGGGCTTGTGTGTTTGATCCTGGGGGAGAATCCATGGCTAGACCCCGCAAAGAAAGGTAGTTAATCATCTCTCAGTAAAATAAGAGTGGGATCAGAATAAGAAAAACTGAGAGATACAATACCAGAAATACGAGAGCCAAGAAGAGGATTGTAAGTTCAGACTGAGAGAATCTGAAGAAAACAAACACCAAGCCTAGGACCTCTGGCAAAACTTCCCGTTACAAGAATGGGACAATATCCTCTGATTCCTGATCCCAAGAACTGTGTCTGGTGAGGGGATTCAGATGGGAGAGGAATTGTCTGAGTGTGTGCCTGTGTGGGAACTGGGATGTCTGTTTAGCGATTTCAGAATCGAATTCCCTCCACATCAGAAGAAAGCTTTGTGATTACAAGCTCTTCCAGGAGCAGAACTTAAAAAAAAAAAAAAGATAGATTACAAGTACTAAAATATTTAGTGATATTAGAACACTCAGTAATACAAATCACCATTAAAGTTACCAAGCTGTATGTATATAGTTACTATTGATTGAATGGGAAAACAGAAGCAAACTGAAAGCTAAAAGCTAGATGCTGAAATATTTGTATTTTGTTAAAGTAGTTACTAATGAATATTATTCAAACCTTTCTTATACGTAACACATTCAATGTTAGCATGTTTCTGAAAAATGCTCTATTTTTGAGCAGATTGCTTTTTCAATGGGAAGTGATTCTACTGGCAGTTTTTCAACTTGCCATGCTAATAAAGCCATTTACCATAGAGTTTAGCTCCCAGCTTCTCTACAGTTTGCTTTGCTTGGTTTAATAAATGGCCACTTTGGCCATCAGTGAGTTCAGAGTTTACATCAACACTGCAGGAAACAGAAGGCCTGAAGCGTTCAGCCAAAGAAGAGACCCACAGACAGATAGCACCTGACCAGGACTCCCTGCATTAGTGTTTATTGCCTCTGAGTACAGAGTATTACCTGGGATTGCACATGGAGCTTACTATGTAAGCAACATTATTTAGGAAAACTTTGCAGGCCATTTAACCCCTTGGCATCTTACTGAACTAGAGCCATAGAGTTATAAGGATTTTCATGGTCACTTCAGTCTGTGGAATTTCTTTGGAAGTTATCAAAAAGAAGGCCAGTTTGTGTTAGTGCCTGGGTGATTACTGAGGTTTCAGCTGGGGGTGGCTAAGCATCCTTGATTTTATATTGGTACAATTCCACTTTTCTCACCATCCATCAGGAATAGCTTTAGTGCCAAGAAGGGAAAGCAGAATCAGGCCCCAAGGTGTAGAAAAGTTGGGATTGGCCACGATAGCATAATTCAGTGCCTGCTGACTTAGCCGTAGCTTGGGATAGGACTAACATTTCTGGTCAAGGCACAAAAATTAAGAAGCATTAAAAAAAAAAGTATCTAGTCACTTCAAGATTTATATTGTTTCTTCTCTATTGCTCTTATATTCCACATTTCCCTTGATTTAGACCAATGTGAGATAAGGCTCACATATTCTGTCTCTTGCTTGTGACATCTGCAGAAGTTCGTGCAACTTTTCTTTTGTGTTTGGAGAACAGAGTCTTGGGAGTTGACACTGAACTGAATACAGCATATGTTTTCTCCTCCACTTATTCTGGTGCTTGGATCAGAAAGGACCCAGTGTTTCCTTTGTCACTGAAGGCGCTTGGCACACATGTGAAGCCTTGTAAAACATGAAATGATCAGGCAACAGCTCCCAGGGTTTGGATGGGGGGGCAGAAGTTATGTTTCAGATATAGTTGCGTCGTTTCCAACATAAGAGTGTGCCATGCTGAAATCATCTGCTAGGTATTCATCCGTGTCTGCATGGACACTAGGCAGGTGAAAATAACTGGATTCAAAGTAGGTGCTTTTATAGTTATGATGGCCATACATTCTCTAGGAGATGACTTTGTCTACTTGAATCCATTACTAGGGGATTTGGCTTGAGAAGCAGAGGTTGTAGCTTCTAGTGACCATGGCTTTGGGACTCATACAGTTGAGCAGTTAGAGTATGATTTCACTTGGCGTGGAGCCTGCTGACTGTTATGAGACTTGCAACTCCAAATTCAGGTGGTACTATGAATAGACTTGTTGTCACACCTTAGGCTTCCTTCTGAACCCCTCCATTTCTCAGTCTGTCAGCCTAAGTCAAAACTAGTCTGTGCCTTGTGTTTGTGGAGATGATTTTAATGTGCATTAAATACAGAGGGTCTTGACAGCCTCCAGGGACTAGGGATGCTTGGGGAAATATCAAAAGAAGAACAGCTGGAACAGATAGCTTCTGTTTCTCTGTCAGAGTCCCCCTGTGGAAAGCTTACTCCTCTACACTGATTCCCCAGGAGGACAATCTCTTGAATACCCGTGTAAATTTTTATTGAGCGTCTGCCAGTGAAAGGGGCTGTATTGGTGATAGATACTTGGTGAGGGAAGCAACGGTTACCGTTCATTTCAGGATCTCTTAAAGTCACATTGCCTGCTTTGGTGCCATTCACAGTGTGCTTGGGATGTTTGTCCCAGCAGTAAAGGCCAAGTGTGAGTTCCCCTTTCTGCCCCCCCTCACCTCCCATTTTTTTCTTTCTTCCCATGTTCATTAGAGCTCTGAAAATGTATAGCATGGGTCAAGAGGATTCAAATAAGCTGATGCAGTGGCTGAAATGGATGGATGGACGGACAGTGGTAGGCCATTCCAGCGGTTCATGTGTTCCAAACATTCTCACAGGAAATAAGTTGTATACTGGGTTTTCTAAATGTTCATATGAACCACTTGTTAAAATGCTGCACTGTGATGTAAGAAGTATACTGTGTCTAGAAATTATTCAAATGCCCAGTATTATCTCCTTTGTCTCCTGAGCTTTTGGTGGGTTATGGAGATGTAAAATACGTATCTGCTGCTGTGAACATTCTTTGTAGCTCTAATAACGAAACTATTAAAAAGGTAAATGAACAGCTTTGGCATTAAGGCAGGGGAATGATCTGTGTCTTTAGAAGCCATTTGTCTTCTATATAGTTGATTCAAAGTGTCTGTATGGTCTGAAGTTGCTTTCTGAATGAGTGTGTTAGCAGCTCCACTCAATGACTTCAGCCTCTACAGTTAGGTGTTTATAAGTAGACTATAATTTATTGTTTTCAAGAGCTAGCAGCTGCCTGCTTACGTTCAATGAGAAACCAGTTTCTGCTCCTGCCCAGTGGCAAATCTAATAGCCTGAGACTGGTAAAGGATGAGGGGGCAGAGAGGCACAGAGAACTGAAGGAATTTGCCCAAGGTCGTTTTGAAGATGAGGAGTAGAAACAGGCTAAGTGCCTAGGATTCTTGACCTGCAACCTAGTGCCTTTATCCTTTTACTCGTGGTGCCTTCTGCTCCTGCCAGGATATAGTGCTGAGATTTGGGAGACATTGCAATAAACTGTTTGGCTCCAGGAATTGCTTTTTAGAAGGGCAGCTGATCCTTGAGAAGAAGAAATGTCAGTGTTAAAAATGACACCGACTACTAACTCTGATCCAGTGAAACAGTATCTAAGAAAATTTCAACTCCAGTGCTCAGTGATGACTAGATAATTCATCATTGCTTTATTTTGTATAGTCTTTCCCACAGACTTGAATCCCTGTATGCATGCTTCAGAAAGTTAAGTAACACAGTTACATAGATAATGACAGCAGAGAGAGAAGGAAATTAGGAGACAAAGACACAAGCCAGAAGACATAGTGTCTGAGGAGAATTGGGAAGTGATAGAGTTAATGAGATACAGGAGCAAGCTGTTGTATCAGAAGCATTTGTAGAAAAGGTTTTCATCTCAACAGTAATAGAAATCAGGCACATGGTTGAGTTACCATTTAAGGTAAACCTCCTCACTGAGGTTTTTAATTTTTTTTTTTTAGTATCTCCTCATTTTCCTAGAGAGAAGGATTTCTAACTGACAGATGGGATGTGTTTGTCATCACAGGTTCTGAGTCTGCTTCTCCACGTGGCACCTTGGAGTTTCTAGCTGGCACCATTACCTCCAACGAGTGGAGTTCTCCCACCTCCCCTGAGGGGAGCAACGACTCAGGGGGCAGCGAGGCCTTGGACAAACCCATTGACAATGACGCTGAGGGTGTGTGGAGTCCGGACATTGAGCAGAGCTTCCAGGAAGCGCTAGCCATCTACCCACCATGTGGACGGCGGAAGATTATCTTGTCAGATGAAGGCAAGATGTACGGTAAGGAGAAAGAAAGGGCACATCACAACACTCCAGGCAGCCTGCCCTGTGCAGGCCACTTGCCTTGTACCAAATGATGTTTTGAATGAACTCTTTTCTCAGGCGATCCCAAGTTGATGCAGTTGGTCGCTTCAAGTGGTATTTAGGAAAATCAGTGAAGATTTTAATGTTCCATGCACACAGATCAGAAGGAATTACAGATGTCTTTTTCAGGGGAGTATCAATAAAGTAGATCCCAGAGCTGGGCATGCTACTGAACTAATTTTTGGATAGATATATAATGACTTCATGCTGTGACTAAGTCTATCTTTTATGGTATCTCTTGCTGCTGTCTCCAACATTCTTGTTATCCTAATGGGTAAAGGTCTGTGTCTCTGGTGCTAAAGGGCAGAAGTTCAGCCCCTGAACCCCTGAATGGCTCTGCTGGTGGTGTGCAAACACCTACAGTTTGTTAACTAGCTACACTTTTGACATCTTAAGAAAGGCAGAAAACAGACCTCTCTGACTGCTCCTTTTCATTGTAGTTTGCCTTCTTATAGCCCTGGCATGAATGTCTTTCACCTGTGGGTTCTTCTCAGCTAGCTAGCTAGATACCCAGCCCCGAATGCAGAGAAGCACTGGCTTGCAGCTGCAACAGAAGTCAACTTTTTAGGTGGTGGACATGATTTTGAACTGGATTTTTGGCCTACTCCACAGTTAAAATTTCTCTCTTGATTTTGTCCTCAAAAAAGCTGGTCTGGGCTGGATTCTCTAGCTCAGTATTGGAAGAAGCCATGTGGTATTTCTGTGACTAAAGAGCAAAGCAAAGGCTGAAAGTGCACAATATTTGGTTAAAAGTCCTAAGGTGTTAAAACTGTTTCTCAAAGGACTAGCAAGGATCTTACAGAAGGCAGCCCTCTTCCTACCCAGTCAGTGCTTGCTTTTTTTCCTTTACATTGGAATCCCTATGTCTTTGCAGGCCCCATCATGGGAGCACCATGCCCTGAAGCTTCTTATGGAGCACTTCACGAGTCATTGTGCAGGTTTTTGTCCACCCATCGGGCCATTGTTCCGTGAGCTAGGGAATGGATTGCTCTCACTATGGGGGCTGGGTGGGGTCTTGTTTACACAGCCTTATCTACAATGGATGGTTTTACTGGGTACATACATCATTGTATCTGTACAGAGCAATATATGTTGAGTAAGGCTGATCACCCTGAGGCTCAGCAAGAGTCAATGTTCTGATGCAGACATCAATTCCTGCTCTATGCTGGCATAAACATTTTTGTGGTTGTGCTATGGAACTGACCAGGGAACTGATCCAGCTTGAAAACTACCACAGCCAGAAAGGGGAAAAAAGTTAACTTTAATTTGGATATGCCCCCTGATTTGTTTCACTGCACAGCTGCTTGTGCTGGTACTTAGAGAAGGGATGATGAAAGTGGGAATGAGCAGCCATGGTTGAAATGAGGGTAGGACTGCTTCTTCCAGGAGCAATGCTTGCTTCAAATGTTATTCAAACTAAAATATTACTTGAAAATCCACCCCATGGTTATTAAGCATAGATTAGTGACATGTTCCTTGCTGCTGTAAGTCTGCACTAGTTTTCATGACAGGTGACTTGTAAAATTACTGGTGAAAAATTACAGTTGTGTTTTAAGACTGTCTTCATTTCTAATCATTTTGCATAGTCCCTGAAATACTTCAGCTTTGGAGTGGATGTGTCAGAGCAGAGAGCGAAATGGACCAGAAAAGAAATTAGAGTGAGAGCAAAAGTAAAAATGAAATAGAATGGACTACAGAAACCAACAAGATTTAGCTGGGGCTTGACCTAGCATGGACTGGTGTTTAGTGGAGAGTCTTTAGTTAACTACACCGGTGAGCTGCAGAAGGTAAATAACCCACTTGCAGGGTGAAAAGTTTAGGCTAAGCTCTGGGAGAAGAAATGAACAGCTTTTCTGCAAGCCCTCCCCCACTACTCCAAATGGGACAGTGTCCCTGCTTGCCTTCCGTGCACCTGTTCCCAGCGTGGACGGTTGGTTCGATGTGCTCCTGACAGAACCTGAGGCACTGATTTATGCCCTCCTTTGCTTACTAATCTCCAGGATCCATGCCAACTAAGCGGGGCCCAGCCTGGGATCTATAGAAAGATATGACCGGGCAGGGAGAATAAATATAGTCCCTGATTTCATCTTCACCACTTAAGAGCCAGCTCACAGAACAGGATAAGCTGTATGTGGAGGCGGCCCTGCCTCCAAGGGACGGTAGTTTAGCTGTCCCGTGACCGACTTGCACAGAACTCATTGAACCAAGGGGCGAGTGTTATGGAGAACTGTATATGCCCCTTCCCCTGACAAAAGGGGAACCAGTTCACTGGTTCCAACTGAGGAGTGGCTCATGTGGTACTACTTTTTTGGGCATGATGTTCCAAGTCCTGGGATCTCTTCTATGTGCAATTTATATGCTTCTCACCTGTTGTGAGGCAACCTGTTATCAGTTTAAAGTTAGCAGCTTTTACCAGCAAACATGTTGAACAAGCTGAAGCGCACCAAGCCAATATGAAGAACTTGCACTATTTTGTTTGAATACATTTAAAATTGCACAGAAAGGTGTGTTTCAGCCTATACTCAGGCCTCACGCTCACATTCCCTAGCCTTTTCTGAGTCTGCTTGCTGCTTACAGCTCTTTACATGACTGCTGATTGCTGAGCGGACATGATTCCTACTTCATCTGGAAGTCAGCCAAGCTCTTCTCTGTACATTGATGATCTGTGTCTTGATGCCTTTGCTGCCTTCTTTTCTTTCATTATCTTTTTCCCCTCTAGACGTGTTCCATTACTGGAGGCAGCATCCTGACTGAATAAGCTCATACCACAGCACTGCTCCGGGTACAAGCCCTCACTGTCCTCTCCAGCAGTCTCTGCTTAAGGCATGAAAAGCTGTCTTGTCTGATATGGGATGCTATCTTTTCTCCTAATCACTGTGTTGATGTTACAGGTAGCAAGTCCAGGGCACCATTAACTTCCTGATGTGATGCCTTCTGGTACCACTAAGGTTCTGCAGGATAATTTTTATAAGTGTTGCCTGCTAGAATACTATGGGGGTACCATGTTAGAAATCTGGCTGTTACATTTTCCAACTATGTTTTTCCGCAGGAGAAATAATATCTGTAGCATTTGTACCAAATAAGCAATTGTAGAATTCAGTGTTAGTCAACTGTTTCCTCACATCTTCAGTACTAGTCTAGAGAAAGGAGAGGGGAAAAAAGCTTAGTACCTTTGTGTGATTTGCATGGAAGTGCTAAATAGAGCAAGTCTCCCAACATTACTGAGGACAGAGAAATAAAAAATAGTAACTAGCAAAGTGATACTTATTTTGACAAAACACTGCTGGGGCCTTGATTTACAAGTGACGAAGTAACAGCTTGGAAGAACTGAGCTACTGCCTTAGCTGTCCAGTGTTCCCTTCCACTGCACAAACATCTGGCTTGGAGCGCTTTTTTGTAAGAGGAGCTAGAACTGGCAGCTGTTTGTTAGATTGCTGTTCTGTAGGAGGCAGTAGTTTAGCAGCTGGTTTACAAACCGCTCAGCCATTTCTGTGCTGAGCAGGGTAGGGCAGACAGCTGGGGGCAGTCATCTATCTCCCAGGCTGGTACCACCTGTTTGTGAGTCAAAGCCCTGATATGGATGATAGGAGATACTTAAAGATGCCCACAGCTCAGAGGCTGAATGATAGAAGGATGGTTAACCATGTTACTAGTTAAAACCTGGAGCAGGCAGTGAACTGCAAAAACTGGAGCCTGCGACATGAATTAAGCTGGCATAAAAGGTCAGTCTGATGCCAAAAACTACCATGTCACAGGTGGTCCCTCCCGCCCCTGAAGTGACTAGCTAAATTTGAAGGATATTGCCTTCATCTCAGAGATATGTTATCAGTTAATCTTTTCCCCGACCTCAAAAAGTCACTAAAAGTAAAACTGAAAAGTAAACAAATAAACCCAAAGAAGCACAAAACATGCACTGCCTGTCTCAGTTCATAAACACTACTTCTCCTCGAGGGGAGGGAGAAGCATGGCAGCTATTACAAATATGAAAACCTTCAAGGTGTCAGTCTTCAAATGCTTTCTTCTATATCTAGTTTAGCATCTCAACTGGTGATGTTTCAGTCAAAACAATTGGAACGTGCTGAGAATGTGCTCAGTTTACACTGAACTGGCTGGCCCAGGTAATTGCAAAACTTGGATTTCAGCTGTGATATCCCTCAGAGATATCACAGTTCCTATCCCTTCCATTATTGTGACCTAGTGAACCGCAGAACAGCCCTTTATCCCACAGTTTTGGTAACAAAATTGAATCTCCCGTTTTAAACACCAGAAGACAGGTGCAACTTAGATTTGTAGACAGTTGGTCAGGATGCAGACTTTTCCCTCCTTTTCCTGGTGGTAGGTGTGCTGTTTTTGGACTTGCTCAATAACAAGGTTTTGTTTCACTGAGTCAGCTTTCGACTTTGCTTTTATGTCGTTCTAGTTCTTTGTTGTTGACTAGATGAAGCCCTATTTCTGGACACCTTTGCAACAGGTTAATCTTTTGCTGGAGTTTGTCAAGTTTTTCCTTCCATCTCCTTTGTAAGCTGAGTTTAGGGTTCTTCATGTTAAACTGTATGTCAGTTTAACTGGTGTTTTCTCCATGCAAGCATAAAAAGAAATATTTTTCCATGAGTTCCAAGCGTTTCCTGAATATTCAGAAATTTACTGCTTTTGAAATGCCAACCAACCAGGAAACTGCTTGCTGTTGCAGTTGACAGAGTTAGTAGTACTCGCTGTGGCATCTTTCCTTAACATACTTAGTACTGAACAGAAATATATTAGCAGTTTTATTGTGTATTACATGTTATCAAAATTATTGTGACTGCTTTTTGGTGGGCTTTATTCTGTTGTTTCAACAAAGGGCACATGCTTTTTCCTGTCCCTTTCAATTTTTAGCAGCTTTGTAGTCCCATTTTTATCTGTCAGGCTTACAACCA